GTAAATTAAAAGAAAATAATAATAATATCTTCACAGTTCTTGTCTAGTGTGAAAGGAAATACAGATAAGTACTCCCTCAATTCCAACAGTGTATAAGAATATTTTGAAAAATTTTGTAATATTATATTATATATATAATAATAGAATGTGTAATAATATATTTGTAATTTATGTAAAAGTAACAGTATTTTGACATTAATGTAATGACAAATTGATAAAATGTATATTATTTTGGGCAGGATAGAAATAAAACTTATTTTATAGCCATTTTTTTTTTATGTAATTAAGTAATACATTTTGCAATGTAAGAATTATCGGACCAATTTGATGTATGTGTTTCATTTAATTTTTAAATTTTATTGTTTTTAATACATATTGATGTGTATTCTATCATTCAGGAATGTTATAAGTTGCATAGAAGTATTTTCATGATAATTTAAATGACTATTATTGTGAATGATGGTTTAGTTATATTTGTTTTACGATAGTTTTATAGGCAGGCATTATATATATATATATGTATATATATATTTCATTAATATTTTGCAATAATATAAATTCTAATGGTAGGTGTTTAAAATAATTGATAAGACTACTCATATAAATGATCATATAACATTCTGAATTAGGGTAGAGATGATGAGAGCAAAGATGGTATTAGAGCCAATTTAGAGACGCAACAATGACATTGCGTTCTTAAGTAGTGAATAGTATATATTCCTTATCAAAAGCCCGTTTAAAAGATCCTATGCTAATTAATATGTGGGATAAATATACGATCATATGACATAATTAACTCATGGAAAAATTGTAGTAGTAAGCCGGGGTATTACATCCATGTTAATAAAATTCGATCAATAAATTTTAATATTAGTAATATACATCTAATCAAGTTTAAGTTACTCATTCCGTATAATCAGTCATTGCTTTTTCTATTTTAGTTAAAGATATAAATATTTGTAAGTCGAGTTGTGGGCGACACTATTTAATGTTTCTAAATAATAGAATAATCGCAGGTATTTTTCAGAATTGTTGTGTTCTTGTTAGATTCGGTCATATATTATTAATATCGTAGGTTGTCTTTGTTCAATAAATTATGATTGCTCCGTTGTTGAATGAAAGAATTTGATTTAGCGTCCCATTAATTAATTGTCACTCTTTCCGAATGTATCTCAAAGATTCTTTGGCTTTAAGTCGATCTAAGACATATCTATTGAATGCTTTCAAATTTGTCGTTTTCTTGTTGGATTCGGTAATAATTATGATTATCAAGCCTAATCTACGTAATATCTCGCCTAGTTTTATACAAGTCATGCAAAAAATTCTTTTAGATTAAATTGAACATGAATTTTTCGATCACAATCATTAATGAGATACTCAACGAATGAAAATTTCTTTTTGTCTCTACTTTAGTATAAATAAATTGTTATGTTAATCTCCAAAGTTATTATATAAGCTATAGAAGTATAATTATTTTCACCTTGGATAATAATTTCATTTATTTTTATGGAGATAAATATACTACACTCATTACTATTATCAAGTACTTTAGCTTCCTCCTTTCTTTTCTTCTTTACCATATATTGATCTTTTTTCGGAAATTTCCAAAAAAATAAAGTATAAAAGTGGTGGTATAAAATTTATTGGTGCATTATATAATTTGAAGATTTTCATAAAAAACAAACGTACGATGCAATAGTTAGAATTGAAAAATAAATAAATAAATAAATTAGATAAATGAGTATTATTGCATAACTAAAATTGAAATATCAATTGAATTACTGTATAAAATGAAATAGAATGTATATTTTTGTATTCAAATTGGTACCTTCAATATCTTATTTACTCATGCATTTGATCCTAAACAAAAATGCAATAACTAATTTTAAGTTTTAACTATAAATATTTTCAAGAAATTTATTATCAATTACTTATCTTCGGACTCTTGTTAATTTTCAACATTTAGGGTGAGAGTTTTTGGTAACTTAATTTTATTTTATTTTTTTAAATTTTATGTGGTTCTCATATCATGAGACTTTAAATTCCAAGCAAACTTTTGCCATTGTGTTATTTTTTATAATTAGGGTGTGTTTAATTTGAATGATTAAATTGAATACTATTATTATGTGTCAATAACACAAAAGGGGTATCAACTAAAGAATACCAAAAGAATTTAATTGGGTTATGGATGGAATATAATGAATAAAGCCACTTTGAGGCTTCCATGAAACCACTAAGGGAGCCAATACAAAGAAGTTTAGGAATTATGAAGGAGGGTTAAGCTCGAATTCTTCTTGTGAGCTTTGTCCCACTTGTGCGCATTCTACGAGACTTTTTAGGATTTACTCATTATCTAATTATTCTAGGACAAATATGTTTAATTTTAGGAGTCACACTAATGCTATTTACAGCTAGCCAATAAAAATATTATGTTGATATGTCTTAAATCTACTTTGACACTTCGATGAGTTTTCATGGGGGTTTGCTGATTGTTGGTCCCATTTATGGAGGTGATACTCATTGTTCTGTGACTGGTTATTCAGATTCTGATTATGGTGGATATATCGACAGTAGAAAATCTATGACGGGTTATGTTTTCACTCTCAGTGGTTCTGTTGTTAGCTAAAAGCAATTTTGTAGGCTACAGTGACTCTGTCTACTACTGCAGAGTATATGGCATTGACAGAAGCTCCTAAAGAAGGAATCTGTTTAAAAGAACTAGTTGGTGATCTTGGCCTACATCATGAGCAAGTTGTTGTGTATTTTGATAACTTGAGTGCAATTTGTTTAGCTAACGACCCGACGGTATGCAGGATTGGGCTTTTGAGTTGGTATTGAGTTGAGTCTGCTTGATGTATTCTTTTATTTAAATGGACTTAAAGATATGAAATCCGTAATCTGTAACATATTCGTCATCAATAAATTTGTTCTCCGTTTATGTCCGTGGATATAGCCAACACGTTGTTGGTGAACCATGTAAATATGTGTTTCTTTATATTTCTGTTTGTTATTCCATCACTTATCTTAATCCGTCACAACATATTCAAAGTACAAGCACCACATCTTTGATTTCGTGGTCAATTTTCTCAAGAGTTCACAATTTCTGAGAGCAAATATATTAATGACAAGGAAGGCTTCGATTCTCCTAAGAGTTCACAATTTCCGCAAGCAAACATATTAATAACATATGAAAGGTTTTTTTTGTTATGCTACTTCTAATTGTACTTGCTAGCTTATTTTGCCGAAGCCCGCGTGGGGAAGAATTATGGTCCTAGTCATACTATGTAGAGGTGGACAAAAAAATCGAACTGAACTGTCGAACCGTTGAACCGAACTGAATCGAACCGAATTTTCGGTTAAACCGAGCAAATTCGGTTCGAATACAAATACTACATATTTGATATTTGCTCGGTTCGGTTCGATTTCGGTTTTTGATATTTTTTCGGTTCGGTTAACCGAACCGAATATATTTATATATTTATGTTATTATATTTTAAATTTTATATTAATAATTATATTTGATTCGGTTTCGGTTCGGTTACGGTTCGGTTTCGGTTCGGATATTTGAAATATTTACAAATATTTTGATTTAATTAGAATTTTAATTATTTTTTATTATATTATTTTTTAATTTCGGTTCGATTCGAATTATTTGCGAATATTGCAAATATTTTCGGTTAATCGAAATTACCCGAAACCGTGAACCGTATTCGAACCTGCATATTTGCAAATATCCTAACCGTGCCCACCCCTAATACTATGTGTAATGATTCAATCATTTACAATTTATTTAATTCAACCTAAACAGTTTTTAGCATTAGGTGATTCAAACCCGTGGTCATTCAAATTTTGTGATCCGCGGTCAAATTGCAAATAAATACTAAATTTTCTATTTCTAAATTGGATATTTAGTACGGAGAAATAGAAGCAGATAAATGAAGATGTAAAAATAAAAATAGATAAATGAAAATTGATGGATGGACAGTTGTAGCTCAATTAGTCTTGTGCCTAATCAAATAAGAATTCATCAAAGACACGGAAAAGTGATCGAAATTGATAGAATTGCTAGTCCCCAATATAATGGAATGACATATTTTGGTTGTAACAAACTTAGTGGAGGTATAGATATATAGTGAAACAAAAAGATTTTATTCTTGATTGAATTTGCTAGATGATTATACATGCGGGTGAAAAAATATAATAAGAGTGAAATATTCTAGTTGTGTTGATAGAGAAAAAAAAAAAAATTATTGAACATTGAGAGAGAGTGAAAATATGAGATAGCTTTTAGGTCGAGGGAACAATCAAGAAATGTGTGTTGATTTCTTAAAGTGTGTACTCATATTGTATCCAAATATTCTTGTACTTCAATGGTTTTTACAATGAATCTTATGTAGGTTGAAACCCTAAATGGCTAGTTACAGTCGAATTGGATTATCAATTATCTTGTAATTTTCGTCATTGTGATCACCCATATGTATGCGCTTTCAGATCGTTAACTGTGTCCAATAAACAACCAACTTGTATTGCAGGAATTTACAATTATTTTATCTTGGAGTTGTTCTGTTGTAATAATTTATTCGGATTTAATCTAAATTTGAAGTAAACAACTTCTAAATTACAAATATATTTATTACATTTATATTTATTTCTAACTAACAGTAAATTTTTTAAAAACCAACTATGTATAAGTATATTTAGTATTCTATTTATTTATTGTTAGGAATTATTGACTAAACTTTTAAAAATATCCTCAATTATTTTTATTTTTTATTTTTTTATTATTTTTTGTCTATTTTAATCTATTTTTACATGATAAAAGGATTATATATTTTCTTGTTCTAAAAATATTTTTTAAGCTAAGTTTACACAATGGAAGAATTATATACCTTATTTATTGTAAAAATATTTTTTATTATTATTTTTATTTGAAGAATCTTTTATATTAAATATAAAAAAATATTTTGACAATATAAAAAATAATATTTTAACTGATAAAAATCAATTACAATCGAAATCGAAGTCCCCAACTCTCCGTCTCCTTCAACCTCATCGCCATCTTCCGTCGCAAGGAGTGCAGCGCCGATAGATATCGACGATTCGTTTCAGATCCCTCCCCACCATCGTCTTTAACCCCGTGCTTCGTCTGTTTCGGCATCGATCACACGTTAGCGGAGGCGATCTGGAGAAAACATGGTTGGTGACGATGTCTCATTGGAAGGATTGGAGCAAGAGCTCGAAGATTGCAAAGCTGACGAGGTTGGTTTGTAAGCTGTAATCTACTGCATTTTGCTATTTCATCATTTGAATGATTCATTATATGCACTTTCCTCTCTGCCTTGAAGTTAGTTGCCAACATACTGTCCAAAGGAACGAAATCGCGAGACTATACGAAGGATGTGGAGAACAATTTACGGCAATCTGAACTCGAATCCATTGAGGTTCTGATCCGGCACTCAGTCTCACTATCTTCCTTGAATTTCTGTTCCGTTGTAGATTTTCTTTTATGGCTATGTCATAGGTCCAGAGGAGAAATGCTTTGGAAAGTTCAATTTTGTTGCCTGTCAATTGTCCCTTAGATTGATGGTTTCTGGAACATTTAGGATCTGCTTGGACAGGAATGTGTTTCCAGTGTTTGAGCTTGGCCTACCTTTCATGATCTTTTGTATTTGTTGTTTGATGCCAGGATTACATTAAAGAAAGTGACAATTTAGTTTCTCTTCATGATCAAATTCATGATTGTGACATCATCCTATCGCAAATGGAAAAGGTTCTCAGTGGATTTCAGGAATGGGATGCCATATTCCATTACTGTTTAGCTGTTCATAAGAAGACTTAGCTGGGTGTCATGAAATATTTCACAAACTATCAACCAGAGCTAAAGAATATAAACTATGAATCAAATGTTATAATGCCCCAGTGGAGATGTGCAATCTGTGTGTGTTAAGCTGTTAAGTCACAGTTTTCTTGGCTTTAGTAAATTACTTATTGTGAGTTGCTATACTATTCTCTATGAATTTCACAACTATTTTCTTTGTATTGGTTTGGTAGGCTGAAATTTGTTCAATAAGCTCAGATATTAAGATTCTTCAAGAGAAATCTATGGGCATGGGGCTTAAGCTCAAGAATCGAAAGGTAAAATCCTTATCTCCTCTGTATTATGAAAGATAATGTAATTATCAGACAAATAAATATACTAGTGGTTCAGCTATCTGCTCTTTCGCAGGTTGATGTGCATTGATTGTAAGTGGCTATATTTGGAAATCTAAGGACGAGGAAGTGACATTTCACATGGACATATAGAAAAGCTATTAATGTCCTCCCTTATGATGAAAACAGTTTTCTAGTACTACTGAATGAAAATTCATTTCCCCTAAACTCCTTTGGTTTATAAAACATTTTAACTAATGATGCATGGTCATGCACTCCCAATTTAACGAATGGTCTTGAACTAAATATTTTGTTAAATACTTTAAGGATCTCTCCTTTTGCTTAATACCGAACCACCAATCTATAGTTGTTTACACATATATTGCTTGTTAGAAAGTGTCTAGAAATATCGCACCTCCTTGTTTTTGCTTGCCATGAATCATGGTAATCTTTCTTTTTGAATGTGCTACATGAATGTATAATTCTGAATAAAACACATTAAATTAAAACATTTGAAGTGTATTCCATGTTGAATGTATCTTAAATTCCATCTTATGAGGCTTCATCTTGAATGAAAATCAGTGCACTTGTCTTTTTGTGTTTTATGGTCTGCCTTCTAAGAGGTTTTAGGGTTCAATAGCCTTCAAATGAACCCTCAGATAGAGTCTTGAAATTTCTTGATCTAGCTCTCAATATTGGCCTGGCTGGAATTTGAACCCTGATAGGCTTGATCTCAGTCTCAAATGAGAGCAGATTTAACCCTTCCGTTCTTTTTCAATATGAGTATATCATCAATTCTTTCGACTTTACAAAGTTTTTTCTTTCATACATAAGAATGCCTCATTCCCATCAGATGAGAACCCTTGAGATTTATTTTCATTCTTTACCACTTGGTGTTTCTGTTTATGAACTGGTGTGTTGTTTAATATCTATAGGTGAATGAGGAGTATATGAGAACCCTTGAGATTCTAAGTAAAAAGATAAAGTTTATTGAATCTGATGCAATGGTGAAGACTTCTAAAGCTCTAAATGATGTTCAACCGGAACTAGAAAAGCTTCGTCAAAAAGCAGTTTCAAAGGTATGCTACAATCTTGAATTCGATGAGATCAGTGGTTTTTCTTCTCTTCTTCTATTCTATATAGTTATCATGCATTTACTTACTAACAATATCGGCCACCTTGCTTCGCTGAATGGATAATTGAGACACAAATGCACCAGAATATTTGCAATTTTAAAGGATTTTCTCCACGATTTATTCCCCCCCTCTCCCACCCTTCGCCCTCTATATAGTGTTGTGCATGATGGGTTTGATGCTTTTTCAACTAACTTACTTGAATAAGCCTTTGCATTTTCATTTTTCATATATCTGTTGGTGGTCCAATATATTGATACATCACAAAAGACCTGAAAATCTTTGAACATAGATGCGACTTTTTACCTCGAGTATGGATCCAAATGTAGCCAACTGCGAATATTTTCTATTGCAGCATAGATAAGAACGTAATAAGGAGTCTTCCACCCTTCACCCTCTATATAGTGTTGTGCATGATGGATTGGATGTTTTTTCAATTAACTTACTTGAATAAGCCTTTGCATTTTTTATTTTATTTTATTATTACTATTATTATATATATAAATCTTATTATATATGCATCTAGTGGAATATCCCTGAAGGCTGTTCTCATATTTTATCTTTTAATTCAAGACGAATGTTGAAGTCATTCAAAAAAATAAAACAAAACAAACAAATATAAATATCCTGATTATTTTTACGGCATCATGACAAGTTGCTTGGAAAGCTCATTGGTGTTATACTTTTTCCTGCATTTACTCTTTGCTCATTGGTATGTATTTGCTTATATGTTCTCTACTGTAGGCAATGTACTGGTTATTGTTGTGGTTACATAGTCTCTCGACTACTGGTCATACTTGTCTACATTCTTTTTGAATATTATACAGTTGGTTGACATGTGTGAATGTGTTATAATTCTTCAATTACCATGTGATTAATTGCTTGAAATTGACTATATTCCTCGATATGTACTTTAACTTTTATTTTTCTTTCCTTTTTGGTGCTTCTGAAGGTATTCGACTTCATCCTTCAGAAACTAATAGCGTTAAGGAAACCCAAGACAAATGTTCAAATCCTTCAACAAAGCATTCTTCTGAAATACAAGCAAGTTGTGTTGAATAAACGCATAAATACTTTTTTTATTCTACCTGGAGAGAGAGTGGAATCCAGATTCATTTTGCAAGCCCTTAATCAAAGTATAAGAGTGTCCATTTTTTACAACTTTTTTCATTTTTTCACTATTCAATCGTCATGATTCTCTGTAGATACACTATTTTCTTATTAAAAAAAAAAAAAATCACATCCAAACTACTTATCAAACATAAAACCAGAACAATCCAAAAGAAAATCACCAACCAAACACTCCATAATATTTGGCATGTACTCAATCGGGCAATCCAGTTTTGTAAGATAATTTGTTCAAAATGGTGAGGATTTTTTCTCGGGTCACTTAAGAATTTGCATTGGTGTTGACTGCTGAGTATTAGGAGCCATTGCATGGTAGATTTGGTGGACTTCTCTTCAAAAATAGTAATGTAGGCCTCATACTACTATGTGGAAGGTGATATTGTTATTCTGAACCTCCAACAATATTTTATGTTATTTGTTTTCTAAATAAGCCATCAGGTATGACATTTAATATAGTTGACTCAACATGCAGATATTTAATTTCGTTTCTTAAGGAGCATGGTAAGGAAGTGTATCTTGAGGTTCGATCTGCATATATTGATTCGATCTGCCTATATTGACACCATGAATAAGGTAAAATACTTGCAAAATCACAATTCTAAGTTAAAATTAGGATGGATGAATATTCACTGCACCAGACCTTATTCTCATACATTCAGTTGTTATTATCACTTTTCAGGTTTTAAGCACCAAAATTCGGGCTTACATTCAGGCCCTGGAGAAGCTGCAACTTGATATAGCAACATCTAGTGATTTGATTGGTGTTGACACCATAAGCACTAGTCTTTTCTCAAGAGGAAGAGAGCCTTTGAAAAATCGTTCTGCTGTTTTTGCTTTGGGTGAAAGGATAAACATTCTGAAGGTGCCAACATTCTAACTAGGTTTATTTTGGCTCAGCAGTTTCTAATACATTGGTACTTTGCCAGTGGGTTCTTTTTTCTTTTTTCTTTTTTTTTGTTTTTCCGTGTATTTTTATGTACTCCTTTCTTTTTCCTATTTTCCTTCCATTCTTCATGTTTGTGCCAGCAAATATTTTTTGATGTACATCTGATGGACCTGTATATGTTTTGTTCATGTATAATAAATGGTGTTTTTGCAGGCATTCTGGTGCTTTCATTCTCATGCAAAACCATTTACTTGTTGGTTAATTTATTCTATTCTCTTTGCTTCTAGTAACTATTCTCTTAAATGTTAGTTGAAGCTAGGCTATCTTTTTTACAACTCTTTATTTGGGTTTTTTATGAAATAATCTCCAAGTTGCTCCTTTCGAATTTTGAATTGCCCAAATTTGAGATGCTGCTGTAAAATTACCATGCGTTGCCTTTAGTACTAACATTGGATAAGGGTGTTCATTTTACCCTTAGAGAATCACAAGTACTCTCAAGTGTAGGAACCGTTGAACAGAAAAGGCTTAAAATGATTGAGTCATTTATAATGAGAGGCATCATTCATAAAAAAATTTATGCCTTTAGATAGTTTGAATTATCACCTACTTTCTCTAATCACGCAGGTGTGGATACATCACGGCTAAGGATGTTCTTGAATTAGTTGAGGAACAGATCCTAAAGGGTGAAATCGTTGAGAGGCTTTGGAGGTTTCACAATTCTCTCTGAATATATATGTTCTCTTCTCCTCCCATTCTTATCTTAGATTGATAGATAATTCAAATTACATGCATTACTAATTAAATCAGGGGCCAAGTGGGTACTACTATTGGCAAATCAAGTGCGGCCTTATTTGATAGCCACAACCCACCAAGTGGGCTTGATACAGTTAAAGTTAAACTAAAAAGAGATGCCACCTGGATTGTGGTTATTATATTAAGCATCACTTCATCTGCTACTATTGCTTATGGCATCTACCGAAGAACAAGGTGAAGATTTCCTTAATCTCTTTGCCATGCTTACAATTTATAATAAAGAAAGAGCTATAGTAGTACTACTAATAGTTCAAGTAAGTAGTCATGAGTTTTAACATTGATCTCATAAGACGAGACTGATGAAGTTGGTTAATTTTTGTTACTCTTCAAATGTTTGTTGTTGTTTAGCCTCTTGACATTGAGAATGCAGATGCATGCATAAGAAGGGTAATATGATATGTATGCCCCTTTGATTGTTAGGGAATTTTTAGAAATATCGTTTTATGCCACTTTGTTTGTTATTTCCATGCAAAGACCAATGGTGTAGTGTTTTATTTCAAACGGCCCATTTATGATGAAAGTTATACTTATGTTTGAATTCATGAAAACATATATTTTGAAACATTGGTCTGTAAGAATGTCCATCTGGTAGTAAACTTTTGAAGAAACACATTGCATACCTATTACGGAAGTAGTATATAGGGATTTGTGAATAATGTGTTGCTCTGTAAAATATTGTTTGAATTATGTACGAAGGAAGTGAAATTCTATGTTCTCTAAGCGCCGCTTGATTTAAGCTATTATTCACAATATGGTGTTGCAGTTTTAATATTTCAACTTGCTTTGTTAAGTTTCGTCGAAAGGTTTGTTTAAAATTTATTTTATTCTCCGTGGTTCTTTTACATAGAAGATTACTGGCATATAATCAACAATGTAGAATTTTAATTAAATTTACGAAATTCCTGCATGATAGATATTGTTTTGTAAATTTGTTGGACCAATTCATGGTTAACTATCACCAATATATGTTGAGAGATCCTTTTTGATTTAGAATTGAATAAGGTTGATTTTAGACTTGCCCAGGTTTCGAACCATCGGTTTGAACCGCCGGTTCACCGGTTTTCGAACCGATGGTTACGGTTCAAACTGAAACCCGGCACAAACCGAACCGAAACTGTCATCCCCACGGTTCGGTTTCGGTTTGTGAAATTTTCAAACCGTAAGCCGCCGGTTTACGATTTGAACCGGCGGTTTGTATTTTTTTATTTTTTAATCTCTCACCACGAAGAAGAAAAAAAAGGAGGAAAGAGGGAGCAGGGAGCAGGTAAAAGAAAAAAAAAGGAGAACGGCGTGTGGCTGCAACCATTTGTATTTTGTAATTTTTTATCATATCTATACTTTTATATTTATTTTTATGTACTTTTTTATTTTAAATTTAATTTAATGATTTATTATATTTATTATTTAATTATTTTTATAATGTAACGATTGAATTAATTATTTATATATATGATTTTTACATAATAAATAAATAATAAATATATCTGAATAAAATTAATATCAAACTTAATTATTTTTAAATACAATTCAAATTTAGAAAAATAGAAAATAAAAAATATTAAAAATGAATATATATAGACAGGCGATTCAAACTGTAACCAGTGGTTTTAAAACCGAAACCGGCGGTTTTTAAACTGTAATCGAAACCGTCAAACGGTAACTGAAGCTGTTATTCGGAAGGTTCGGTTTCGATTTGATATTTTGACAAATCGTAACTGGCGGTTTGAACCGTTTGGGCAAGTTTAGTTGATTTCCCTTCCACTTCAACCCCTCGTCTAAATGACATGATCTCATGACATTCATTAAAGTTACTAACTACTGAATCATACTTGTTTAATCTTGTATTGGTGCAGACACCGTTAGAAAATTTGAAATCAGAAGGTGCATCGCATGCCAACAATTCTATTTCATTCCTTTTATGAGTGTAATTGTAAGTATTTTAGTTTTTCTTGTGAAATTTTCATTTTCTACCCCTATTGAAGATATAAGATATAAGATTATGTTTCTAAGCCACTATTCTGTTCATAAGTATTTTAATCTTGTAATTATTATCAGAAATGTGCAATTTCTTATTACATATATTTGTTACTATCCTGTTAATATATTAGGATTTGGCTGGTTTGTAGATACAAGAAAGTAGATTGAATGAAGTTTTTATATAATAATGAGATTTTTAAAACTTTAGCGGATTAAGCTATTGCAATGTGCTAATATGGTGTCTATTGTATTCTAATCCTTTCACCATTTGCTACTTGGAAATCTACATGTAGACATCAAATATTCTTTGGGTTTGTTATTTCCATCATGTTAAATGAAAACATATAGCATTTCTTTTCGATTGATAAATTTATGTTTTACTATGTGCACTACACTTTTATAGAGTTGAAATTTTTAGTTAATTGCATCAAAGGTCGAGTCTTTCACTTCATGTGGTGTAATTTTTTCAAACTTCTGCACCTTAAAATGTCAATTTATCATGCCACGATATTTGCTTGATCCTATATATCCATTAGTTTATAGAAAGTTAGAAACATATTTAAATTATTGTCACGGATAAAATTTCATGATTGATGTCATTAGTAATTCACTTATAAAATTATTTATGGAATTTTCTCGTGAGGAATTGCTTACGAGGTATTACTAACAGAATACTCACGTGTGTCCTAGTTCGACTACTATTAAATAGTGAATTTGTTGAGTGTTTATGTAGAATGAATGGAGAAATTTATGCAGGACACACATATCTTATGTATGAGGTAATACCTATCCTAATTTGTATATGTTTTTTTTTTTTTTTTTTTTATCATCTACAGTTGAACCCATATTTACAGAGCGTTGGCAGCTTTTGATCATGGATTTGAACATAAAAGCAACAAGAACAGTTGTCATTTGTAATTCAGGTAACAACATTCTAGTTGAATATGGGCACTACCTATATAGGCTTGCAATATAATTACAACTTTAAAATTCCAGTATTCATGTGTATGTATATGTGTGAACATTAATTTGTTGTCCATTAGTTGTTGAACATATTTCCACAAGGCAGAGGGGTTTAATTTTATTTATAACGATTAAAATAGTTGTAATGTTGTGCTTAATAATTTTCTAACGGGCATTTGTTTCTTCCATCTGAATTATGCTATGTTGGCACATTAAAGATGGTATGAACAAATTGTTTGTGAGTTGGTACTAAGTAGTCTTAGTTTAGAGAATTTGATAAATTATATTTTGTAATAATAATGCTTTGAGAAATTTCATAATAACAGTTATACCATGATTTTTAATTTTTTACTTAATCTCTTACTTCTAGGAGTTATATGTGGAAGCATTGGGAAATGGTTTATCTAGTGCAGCACCATTGCAATTCGATACAAAGGTATTATTGGAAAAGGCTTCAACATATCAACAGATTTAAAGGAAAAAGCTTCAGCATATCGGCGGATTCAAATTTTAAGGTATGTTGCTTCCATAATTTGAGAAAGTTGAAATCATATTTAGCAAAAAAAAAATGTGGCAATTTCAGGCTGATGTTACTCATTCCGACACGCAAAAAATTAGTGCATTTTTTGCGAGAAAGAGAGAGTAATATTTTTTTGGTTTGTCTCGGGTTGTTTTAAAATAGAAGCCCGATAAGCCCAGCCAGATTCTGGATTGGGTTTAAAAACCCAAACCAAGGCATGGCCCGGTTTCTAAGTATACCGGGCCAGGCCAGCCCACAATTTTAATATTAAGTTTTAATTAAGATTTATGTTTTTTTTATTAGAAGATAAGTTATATTAGTCTAAGTTGATATAATTAGGAAAAAAATATGTTTATTGATAATTAATAATTAAAAAAAAACAATTAATTCATCTAAGTCCCGGGACGTAAAAATAAATCTAACTTTATATGCAAGATGCTAAAATAAATGCGATGCAGAAATGTAAAAGGAAATGGATGAATTACTCCCTATTATGTATTCGGTTCATCCAGCCACTCCCTCTCGTATGCATCTAAAAAAATTTAAAATAGATATTAGTATATATATATATAGGAAACAAAAAAATAATATTAAAATCACTTACCTTGGATTTGAAATCGAATTCGAAGGATCTTTGCGGATCCCCTCGTCTCCACCTAAGCTTTACCTACAAATTAAAAACACTTGAAAATAAGTTAGTATAAAATATAGAAACAAAATTAATGCAAGCATGTCCCGGGACCGACGTAAAAATAAATCTATTTCTATATGCATAATGCTAAAGTAAATTAAATGCATAAATGTAAAAGTAAATGGACTGATTTCTCCCTATGATGTATTCGGTCGTCCGATCATCCGGCCACTCCCTCTCGTATGCATCTAAAAAGATTTAAAATAGATATTAGTATATATGTATAGGAAACAAAAAAATAATATTAAAATCACTTACCTTGGATTTGAAATCGAGATCGAAGGATCTTTGCGGATCCCCTCGTCTCCACATAAGCTTTACCTACAAATTAAAAACACTTGAAAATAAGTTAGTATAAAATATAGAAACAAAAAAATTAATGCATGCATGCATGTCCCGGGACCGACGAAAAAATAAATCTATTTCTATATGCATAATGCTACATTAAATTAAATGCAAAAATGTAAAAGGAAAGGGAGGGATTACTCTCTATGATGTATTCGGTCGTCCGATCATCCGGCCACTCCCTCTCGTATGCATCTAAAAAGATTTAAGATAGATATTAGTATATATGTATAGGAAACAAAAAAATAATATTAAAATCACTTACCTTGGATTTGAAATCGAGATCGAAGGATCTTTGCGGATCCCCTCGTCTCCACATAAGCTTTACCTACAAATTAAAAACACTTGAAAATAAGTTAGTATAAAATATAGAAACAAAAAAATTAATGCATGCATGCATGTCCCGGGACCGACGAAAAAATAAATCTATTTCTATATGCATAATGCTAAATTAAATTAAATGTATAAATGTAAAAGGAAAGGGACGGATTACTCCCTATG